CAGTCAGCCGCAACGCTGCTAACAAGAAGCAAATGGAACTGGACTTGAGGGGGGGGGCTGGCCAACAGAATAACCTCCAAGCACCTCCTGGTTTAAGTTGATTTGTTAGGAGACTATGCCCGGGGGGAATGAAATGACAACAGGAACCTTTCGTCCTTCCAGAACCCGAAAAATTCAAATGTGGGAGAGCCTACAGACGGCTAGTCATTCCATATACACAGTGGACAACTGCTTCCTGTCTTGAACTGCAGGCTGCCACTTAGGAAAGGAAATCTTTAGCCCGTGGCGCTGGTGAAGTTCCCAAGCCTGGTGGCATTTTAACTGAGCAGCCAGCAGTCCCCCTTTCTCAGGAACAAAGCCATCATACTCTACATGGTTTCAAAAGCAAAGACATCATGGAACTAGACACAGTGGAACAAGCAATTCGGTTAAGCTCTTAATTGCGGTGTCAATGATGCTTGGTTGGCATGCTATGAATACAGACTCCAGGATACTTAATCTTCACTAAAATCCAGTAAAACTTTCTATATTCATTCATTCAACCAGGTTTATTGAACCCCTGTTATTTGCCCTGATAGCGTATTATTATGAATAGGGCTGAGATTCCAAAGCTCAGCAGTTTGAAACCACCAGCCCACTCCACTAGATAAAGAGAGAAAGACAGGCTTTCTACTCCTGTGAAGAGTTAAGCAGGTGTCCTCAAACTATGGCCCGCGGGTGACATGCACCTGCCGAGGACATATCCGACAACAGGGTGTTTTTGCCCCATTTTGTGTTTACTTCAAAATACCATATGTGCAGTGAGCATAGGAATTTGTTCATAGTTGTTGTTTTTTTAACTATAGTCCGGCCCTCCAACAGGTCTGAGGGACAGTGAACTGGCCCCTTGTTTAAAAAGTTTGAGGACCCCTGAGTTAGAGTCTCAGAAACAGTGCCAGTTCTACCCTGTGGCTATGAGTTGGCATTGGCTGATGGAAATTTATTTGGGGCCAGATCTTCAGCTCAATGCTAGGGATACAAGATGGTACAAAATAGGATCCAAAGGAGCCATGTTGATATAATTTACGTTCTGATGGGAAAGAGGGAGATTCGATATTTTAATATATAGTTAATTACTTTTAAGATGTGATAGCAGACTCTTTTTGGGGGGGGGTTGGAAATATCGTTTTAATTGTGGAATGCAAAGATGATGATCTTAAATATAAATGCTCACATGAATTACAATAAAACGTCTGTGTAAAAAGGGAACCAAATGAATTCCTTAAAGTCCAGTACAATAACTGAGTCTAGACACTGGCTGGGTTCAGATTTCACATATAATTTTCTTTTCTTTTTCTTTTAAATTAATTTATTGGGGGCTCGTACAATTCTCATCACAAGCCATACATACATCGTGTCAAGCACATAGGCACATTTGTTGCCCTCATCATTCTCAAAACATTTGCCTCCGACTCTAGCCCCTAATATCAGTTGCTCATTTTCCCCCTCCCTCCCCATTCCCCCCTCCCTCATGAACCCTTCATAGTTCATAAATTATTATAGTTTTGTTATAAGTTACCTGTCCGATGTTTCCCTCCGCCCTCTTCTCTGCTGTCCATCCCCCAGGGAGAAGGCAACACTTAGAATCTTGTCATTGATTCCCCCTTTCTACCCCACATTCCCTTCACCCTCCAGGCATCGCCCCTCTCACCACTGGTCCTGAAGGAGTCACCTATACTGGATTCCCTGTGTTTCCGGTTGGATGGTAGACTTTTAAGAAGAAAATGTCGATGTGATAAACTGAGCCTTTGGACAGGGCTACATCCAAAGCTAGAACTGGATGTATTTGGCCAGTGTCACCAGGGAGCTCTCTGTCTGGGTAATACAGTCCTTGTTTTCCCTACTGGGTTCATTCCCTGCCTGGATTCTCCACTCCTACCATGGTCCCTGGGAGCACCAGTTCTCCTTGGCCATTAGATCATGTGCCCACCCCGGACAAATCATTATGGCCCCTGATTGGCTGAGCCAAGATATAGTACTCTCATTTAGGTCTAGGGAGTGAGTGGAGTCAGAACTATAGAACCTCAAGGGCAGAGAATGGGGAAGAAATGTGATTTTAAATAAGGAAGGGAAAGCATGCTGAAATTAAAAACACAGATGTAAATCGTTGACTTCCTATCCCTAATTGGTCTACTTTGACTTACATTTCTGACTGAGGAGAACACTGTGAGTCACTAGCTCTGAGATTCAATTCATCCAACTGGGTTCCTTCTTGGGATGAGAAGGGAAAAGTTCAGATCCATGGGTAGCCCTCTTCCCCATGGCTCAGTTAATCATGAGGGGTGCCCTGACCATCTTTGCTTTTTTCTCCAGCTGGATCCTGAACCTCTTCAATGAAAAAATCGCAAACAAGTTCAAAGCGATCATGCAACAAAAAGTAAACAAAAGGATAAGTAGATTTAACATTAGCACGTGGAACATTGGCAAGTAGGTGTTGGGTGTTTTGCTTAGCAAATCCTTCCTCCTTAGATCCAATTTAAGGTTTTCTCCACTTTGTAAGATCTCATATGCTAAACTGGCATTTTGAGTCAACATGGGGAATTTGATAAGCTAGTTATAGGTAACACTGAAGAGAGAATGGGCACAAAGTGACTGAATGCTTTCCTCACATGCTCACAAACCAACACTAAGAGTCACATGGATTTAAATGCTTAAAGATACTTTTTAAACTTCTCCGAGATTTAGAATATCTTTTTCTCCTTGAGTATAGGGAAAGAATTCTTACATAACACAGACACACAAAAAATGCTCATCATCTTCTGAATCGTTCATAGCCATAACTGAAAACCTTAGTGGGCTCGGCTGCTCTGCCTCGGACCTTATGACCATAGTCTCAGGGGACATGAACATCAATTGGCATAACTTCGTCCACATAGAAATGTTCTACATCCCATGCCTTAGAGGCAAGGATGGCAAGGCTTTGTCTCACACACTTTGGACATGTTGGCAGGAGCGACCAGTCCTGGAGAAGGACATCATGCTTGCTAAAATAGAAGGTCAGAGGAAAAGAGGAAGGCCCTCAGGGAGATGCATCGACACTGGCTGCAACATTAGGCTCAAACCATCACAACAATTGCAAGGATGACAAAGGACTGGGCAGTGTTTTGTTCTGTTGTACACAAGATCACAGTACCTAACAAAGTCGGGGCAGACTAAAGAATGGAATTCATCAATTGGCCCCTCCTCTGGTCTTGCTCTGGAGCCCTCACGTGGCCCTCGTCAGAACTACCTACACACCTGGTGCTATGTTTTAAGGTACCACTAAAGCGGGTTTAGACTCATAGTGACCCTGTGTATGATCAAAGAAAACATTGTCCAGTCCTATACCATCCTCACGATTGTTATGTGTTGAGCCTATTGTTGCAGTTACTGTGTCAATCCATCTCACTGAGGGTCTTCCTCTTTTTAAATGACCCACTACAGCTGGTGTAGTGGGTTACATCTTAGGCTGCTAACCTCAAGGTCAGCAGTTAAAACCCACCAGCAGCACCACTGAAGCTCTGCCCAGTAAAGATCTGGAAACCCACAAGCACCATTCTACTCTATCCTATAGGGTCACTATGAGTTGGAATTGGCTCAGTGACATCGAGTTTGGTTTGTTTTCTCTCTTGGCTTCGGTTTTTGGTCTACTTTGCCATGTTTTTGCAGTTTTCAAGGGACAAGTCTCTAAAAAAAAAAAAAGCACAAACAAAACCCATAGCTCCTGCTGCGTCAACTCGAACGCATCATGACTCCACGTATGTCAGTGTTTTTCAATGGCTGATTTTTCAGAAGTTCGTCTCCAGACTTCCTGGAAGGTGCCTCTGGATGGACTCTAGCCAGTCTGTCATTAGCCAAGGGCAGGGGCCATTTGCACAATGCAGGGACTCCTTAGGCCTTTGCAGGACCTTCTTCTCCCAAGATGTTTGCGTAACAGTGAGATTTCTGGCATCTCTGATTCGGAAGTGGGGGCAAAGGGGTTGAGTCTCCGCGTTAGAAGCACTGTACTGGTCGACATACATATTCTCTGCAGAGACGTGGAGCTGAGGATGAGGACAATAGACAACCCTAAGGCAGCAGAGACTTGACCAACCTCCGGGTTTAATGCGCTTTCCAGAAAAGGCCAAGGATTTAAGCTGCACCCACCACCTAGAGGCTGCCCATATAGGAGAGTATCCAGGGGGCGTTTGTTGAGGGTGGCAGTGATCTCTTCCCCCTTCTCATCATGAGACCCCACCCACATCCCTATGAGGCAGACTGGCAAGGAAGTACTGGGTGGGAGGGCAAGGGCACTGTGAAGGAGAGTAGGAGGGACTAACCTGGCTTTCTTACCTACCTCTGGCAGATCTGCAAATATGTGGAGGAGTCAATAACTTCACACCTGAATCCATATCTCCAGACACTCCCAGGTTTGCATCCCATCCATTCTTTTTTATTTATTTATTTTTAACCATTTTATTAGGGACTCATTGAACTCTTATCACAATCCATACATACATCAATTGTGCAAAGCACATTTGTACATTCATTGCCCTCATCATTCTCAAAACATTTGCT